GGCCGAAATCCGAGGAGAGAAAATAGGGGTAGGAGAGGCTGGCGAGATCTGCCAGTGCTGCCCCCGCCACCCCCCCCCCCAACCATTTTCATGAATCGACACCGCTGAAGGGAGATAAAACATATCTTGAAGTATGGAACACAGCAAAATAGACTGTTCAACAAAGTTTGTTAGTTCATCGGATCTCTCGCAATGTATCTGCCACTCAATCTGAGCGATTTGGTATGACCGATTAGATTTGATAATAGGACTGCTGACAAGATGTGGATAAACACATTTTAAGTCCCAGCGAACTTACGAACTTTATGGAAAAAGTCAAAATTGTAGCTTTCTGAGAGGCCATTTTGCGTCCTTCGACGGCACAAGGGGGGGGGGGGGGGTTGGTACGACCCCCCTCGCGTTTGGCCCCTGATCGAGCTAGAGCTTCGCGGAAAAAACGAGCGTGTTGCCCGTCACGAGAGGAAGCCGATGATACCCAATTTTAAGGTCCTAGGTCATCGGGTGACCTTCCAGGTCAGGTCAATGACCCGAAAACCGGGAAAATCGGGACCTGTTAAGAAAGTCGAAAAGTGTGGCTGCTATGTGGTTTTCCGGGGTGCTGATCACGAATATCGTGTTAGTGTTGATCAGAGATGATGTCTTTAAGCATTTAGACCAGATCGGTTCAGGTCAGGTCAGGTCAACCGGTAGGGGTTGTGACGGGTATTCGTAATACGTGTCAACCGCCTCTGACAGCTTCGTAACATGTTACGAAGGCACCAAAACTACTTCGTAAATGTTCAAATGGTTGCTAAATTCGAATTCAGCTTCAAAAACTAGCCTAGAAACATGTAAAACTCGAAAAAGTGAACCGATGTCACCCGAGGTCACCAAAGGTCAATGACCTGACCTGACCTTCAGGTGACCTTGACACCCACCCTAATGTATGGGAGCAACATCAAATCACATGTTTGAACGTTTGAAACCACGAAAAGCTTGCAAACGCGCGGCTAATGCGAGCCGACATACGCCGAATCGCGATTCTGGCCAAACATGGTCTCGGAAAAGAGGCCACAGGTCAAAGGTCATTTGGGTCAGGGTCATGAAATTTTCAGAGTAGGTGTATAATTGATCAATGCGAGGGTACTGAAAATTTCGTTGCGATCAGCCGCTTTTTACGCGAGTTATTCGCGAAAAACCTTAGGGGGGTTGCATCAACCCCCCCTGTGCCGACGAGGGTTAATGATAGTGAGGTGTGTGATAAAGGCAAGTGGAGGTACCGGCATGGTTTCATCTCTGTGGTTTTATCTGGCCGAAATATGCGCCATTGTTTAGTCGTAGGCTCACGCGCGCACACACACATACAAACACATGCACACAGGCCCAGCACACGGCCCCGTGCTAAATCGATGGCGGCGGGGAGGTGCCTTTGTGCCGCGGGGGAGGGGCCGTCGAGGGGGAGGGAGTTCGTGTCCACAGCGCTGGCTTTGTCTGCCTCAGGCACGTGCCAGGGTCCGAGGGAGGGGAAGGGTAGGAGACAGGGGTCCTCAGGCAATGGTTCAGGTCAGGGCGAGGGAAAGGCACAATTTAGCAACTGTTGGCCATGACTTCATAGGGTGGTAGTTGGTACCCAAAGAAAAGATCGCAGTACATACGAGACGAGTAGGTATACATAAGCGGCATGGTAATTGCAGTGTATATGCATATGAACATCAATAACAATAAACTTGTCTCCTCGGACCTTGGAACGCTCCTGCCGTTTTTCGGACTTTTTTAAGGTCTTTCAGATAGCCGAAATTTGGCAAGCCTGCTTCAGCTGGATCTTTTGCCATTTCCGTGTCAGGTCAGGTCACTGACCGTGACCGTCTATGACATCGAAAAATTATCCCTCCCGGCTCCCAGTTCTTTACCTACCCCGTCCAAACACTCATCGCCGTTTCACCTCTAATTGCGCTAAAGCTTCGCGAAAAAAAAAACAACCGTGTGTAAGGCTCAGGAACTAATAATCGATATCCAGAAACCAGGTCAATTAGAAACCTCTGAAGTCCGGTCATATGCCCTCAAGGCAGGGATCAGTTCTTTTTTGTGAACAGCTTGCGTTACCAAAAATGGTTGCCGATTGTATGACCATCGTCTTCGTCATGTTAAGGTGCAGTAAGCGGCGGAACACCTTCAATTAAGGGGGGGGGGGGCACTGCCGACTTTTGGTCCCATTCTTTCCATGCAACGCCCATAGGGCTAATGTTAAAATGCCAAAATCAAAAGGGTGCCCCCCGTTCCGCCGCCTATGTTTAGGTTCGCCAATGACATGCTTTTTGCCTGAGAAATATCCAGATAAGGTGTCGACCTCAGGCCAAGGTCAGGTTTAGGCCGCTCAGGTCACGAACTTGTTGGTGGAAAGAGTCCATTTTGCATGTTTCGATTCAGCAAGTATCTTAGTATGGTGGCTTTCCCGACTTGCTAGCGGATAGTTCAATTCAATCGGAAATTACCGTCAAAAAAACTCCGATGACCTTACCTTCATGACACATCTGACGTCACGCAAGACCTCAAGGCAAAAGTTATGCATCAGATCTTGCAAGGAGTGTATGGACTCTCAGCTCGCGTACTTGCTAAAGTCATGACGCATTTCTGCCGCCGAAGTAACAGTTTCAATGCTTCTCCAATCGTCCTTCAATTGTCAGGTCACGTGACAGACCTGACTTCATGTGAACTTTAGAGGAAACCTTGAGAGGAAAATTGTGAATTTTGATCACATTTTCTGGACTGTTTTTTGTTGTTGTTGGAAAAAAGCTTTACAAAATTCATATCTTTGATTTTATTAAACAATCCGATGTTAGAAAACTACCTACAGTCTGTGCATCTACATTTTAACTGTGTTGCAGTTTTTACTTTGAACTGACCTGCGACCTATTGATAAAATTTTCCAGTGATCGTTTGTTGGAAAAGCGTTATAAAATTCTAAACTTTGAGTTAATCAAACAATTCGATATAAGAAAAGTACGGTCTGCGCACCTACATTTCAACTTTCTTGCAGTTTTCACTTTGACCTAACCTTAGCCTGACCTATAGGCTCGCCTTAACCCTCGCCCGCACATGGGGGGGGGGGGGTGGTTGCCACCCCCCCCAGGTAGTCTTTCTGCTCTGCACTCGACATTTTTAGAGCTAGAAGGCTGATTTTTCGTATAACTGCTCCTCTATCCTTTCTTGATGTCCACTGAAAATTTCAAGTTTCTGTGATTTTTGGTTTCGGAGATATGACCTTGTTTTTCAGGTCATGTCATGACCCAAATGGCCAATTCTCAACATCTTGCGCTGGCTATGGGCCTTGTGAGCTTTTGACACCTTGATTTCGGCCTTTTTTGCCAGTCTTACCTCCCAACTATCATGGAACATGTTGTTCGACGATGTACAGATGTCAAGGTCAAGGTCAAGGTCAACCTAGGTCATCTAAGATAATTGCGTTTTAGGTAAGCGGAAATTACTTTTTGTCAAGTTTTTTGACTACATTTTTGGTAAAAGCTTCTCAGATCATGATTTCATGTAATATGGACACAAAAACAATCGGTGCACACATAAGTATACACACAGACACAAACAGACATACAAACACATATTATTGACCTTGACCTAACTTGACCTGACATGACCTCAGCAGCAAAAATCTGGTCGGGTAGTGTGACAAAGAGGTTCTAGCTGGCTTGGCACCAGAAAACAGCATCGTCATCGGTATATGGTAAGCAGCGCACTTGATATCCAACGTTGACCCAAAATAGCAACATTCTTTAGTTTAACCTGACCTGGAAGGTCAATGACTGACCTGAGAAGATAAAACTGGGTATCATTGGATTCGTCTCTTCCCAATCCAACAGGAACGAAATGGCGCGGGGGGGGGGTGGCAACCACTCCCCCCCCCCATGTGCGTTCTAGGATGGGAGAATGGCATGTGCGGGCGAGGGTTAAGGAGAGTTTTGGATTGTCGTTTTCTTCATCTTTCTGCGACCATCCTTTCGAAAGTTAGAAAAGGGAGCAGAATCACCCATCCAGTCGGGCGCGCGTATGGCTGCATCACCCAGCGGGGCTCGGGATTTACAAGCTTACCTACAGCAGGGTTTATGGCCCTCCAACATAGCATACCCTGACACTGAAGGCGTTCCGAATTTGCAGCAATTTAGGACAGCGCAGAGGTTCACTCATGACGTCATGTCATATGTCAATGACTTGACCTTACCTGGAAATGCAGTTGGTGTCTCGAGATTCGCCTCGAGTCCTTTGGACGCGATCGAACAAGGCGTTGCACTCAACGCCGCGACTTCCTGCAGCTTTGACCTCCGCTCCCCGCCACAGCGCGAGTGACCGGGCACCAGACCGAAATCGCCGCAGGTCAATGTCATAGAGGCGGGACTTAGTTGTGGCGCGTCATCGCGAATCAGAGACCGCTTGGGGCCTCTACACTCAGGGTGAGTCTCGCATGAATTGGACACCGCGCGTCCGGAGTCGATGAGCATCGCCTAAAATATTGAACAGACGATAGTCGACGAAATGTCTATTATTAATGTTTGAATGTACGACTAAACGGTATTTTTGCACCTATATTTAGTTTGGAATGCATTAATGCATATTAAAACAGTCCCAAGAATAAGACCTTCCAAAAGGTTTGCCGTGAGCAGTGCTGTTCCGTGCTGACGTGGCGAAGTCGTCGTCGTTCAAAAAGACGAAGACCAAAAACAATTCAGGGCATGTTTCAGCATCTGAACAAGGCCTTTCGGGCTTCAAATTTGAATGTTGCGCCCGTTGAATTTATTTACAAGCAATTATGTACTGAGAAGGAGAACCTTCATAATTTTCAGAAATAAATTCTGCCTTCTCACACCAATACCTAACTTTAGGAAACGCCAGTATAGTGCGTGTGTTGCGGGTCATGCGGTGATGCTTCTCAGGCTCGTCCTGTACGATGTATGTTTGCACTGAGCTTAGATTCCTCTGAAAATGAGAGAAATCCCATGCTTTCGTATCTAATATTTATTTCATAAAAAATACCAATATGTGCAACATAGGTACAACTGACTACATAATCAAAAAGCTTACAGGTAGTATGGCACATAGCACCGGTTTAATTATCTGATCGTCCAATGGTGCGACAGCGCACTGGTCTAACTTTTCGACGCTAGTTTTCACACCTGACCTAGTTGTCCTTTCATAGCAGACTTCGGTGAAAGAGAACCACAGATAATAGAAAACTCCGGTAATCTTGTCACACTTCGAGAGGACACCGACCAAATTACCCCCCATCCCCAAACGCCACCACCACATAAGGTTCCTTACGCCCAAACACCTAGCCGATCTTGCTTACCGTCGAGAGCCAACCTACTCGTCAAACTGGCTGTGATAGGACCCTCCATAAAGCCAATCAGCAGCCACCTTGACGGGCAGGACAGGGAGAAATAGATACGAGCTGACTCTGCTGGCATATATCGCCAGCAGCGCGCGAGAAACCGAACCGATGTATCATCCGCGCACTCGGAGACGTATTCAGAGTCTTGGAGGTGTCCCGCTTAGTTGCATTGCGGTCTATGATACACTGCTAGCACAATATCTAAAACAAATGACGTCATTAAATTGCAGAGGTAGTTGAGCCGGCGTGCAGCGAGGCAAATGCAGCCCAGCTCATCAAACATGGCTGTGATACGATTCGACATACGTCTTCACAGCCATTTTGATGGCCAGGCAACACTCAAAGGACGGCGGCGGCGGTGGTGGTGGTGCATCAGACACGAAGGTGACGCGCTGAGACGAGCGATGGCGCAGTGATGACGTGGAGAGGCGCACTTGCTCATCAAAGCTGGCTGTGATAACTCGAAATCGTATGACAGCGCAACCTGATGGCAAGTGAGCCCCCCTAGGTGAGCCAGCAGTCGGCCCTGGTCCGCCGAACAGTCCTCGCAGTCTCGGAGATTGTGTCACAGAGAAAGCGGAAGACAAAGTAGTGAGAGGTCGACAATCTCACATCTCACTACCCATGTCTTTCACTCCCAAAGTGACGCATAATGATGTGATGTTTTCTGGTAGTTCCGAACGCGAGCTGCGCTGCTTCAGCGCAATCTTTCTGCTTCTGAAGATCGTTCAGCTGATACTTTGAACGTCGCCATGAGCGATTATGACGTCATCCCGGGGTGGTCACGTGACTGCCTAATTAATTACATCACAGTCCGTCCCCGCCGTTGCTCAGAACGGATGAACATCACTGGAACCTGAAACAAGAAGAAAAGTACGTCAACCTCCGCTGACAAACACCTGACGGCAGAAAATAAACACGTCATGGTAGGCGGCGGCGTTTCACAAGTGTCACATCACAGACTGCCGCCAGCGCACACCGGAAGTTTTCTTTTTCCGCGGCCCGGAGCGCTCTCCAGGGCCAGCGACGGCCTACTGCCCCGCCTTAGCCTTCCTCAGTCCGCACTTGGCTCATCCACCGCCCGCCATTTTACCCCGCAGGCGGCCATTTTGCCGGCCGCCGACTTGCAACATTGCAGAGTCATGAGGGAGGCGGCGGCCATGAGCGGCGGCGGGCGCTCATTGGTCAGCCGGCCGGCGGGCGACCAATGAGCGGCCGGCTCGGCCGCCCGCCGAGCCGCCGACAGGTGTGGCCACTGCACGGCCGCCGGCATGTGCAACAAAATGGCTGCTTATAGCAGAAATAGCCGCCGGCAGTCCAGATATTAATAGCGATGGCCGCATGTTTAGCAGTCGTCAAAACAGCGGCCCGGTGCGGAGGCGGCTGGCGGCAGTTAAAAATGGCCCAGGCGCCCGGGAGGAGGGGGGGGGGGGGGCCCGCCGCCGGAGGGGTCAGGGGGTCAACCCCAGGGCGCCGCCTCCCGGTCGTGTTACCAAGGTGAGCAGAGGTCGAGGGTGAAAAAACAGACCAACCCTCGGGAAGTCTGATTGTTTAGATATACTTCCCATTGTGCAGCAGTGATTTTTTTTCGGAACCAGCAAAACATGGAGAATTTCGCGTGCTAAAAAAACACATCCTGCATTTGTATGCCGACTTTGGTACAGGCGGATTCTAGGGAGAAGAAGGGGTGGCCAATTGGGACACTTTCCCATAACGCAGCAATCTTACCAGACATTTTGGCACCGAGCGGCTTTAGTAAAGTATATTTTTAAAAAGGCACATCAACGCATAGAAAAGCAAAATAAGCCTGTTTGTTTTTAGGGAAGGGAATTCAAAAACCCTTTATGGAAGGACTCCCCTTCAACGTCTCATACGATCTTCCTGGATCCACCAATGAACTAGTATAACAGAAATTGGCGTCTACTAATTGGTGCGCAATAAAAGGAGTTGAACGAATGCCAATTTTGAAGGGTTGTGCCTGTGACTGTGGTTGTGGCAAAATTTATGTGGCTGAATTTTCCAAAGCAGCGACAAACCTCCAATGATTGCTCATTCTCTTCCTAGAAGCAAACGCCAAACATGATAAAATTGTGCATTGAAGTCGTTGCAGCGTTTCTTATCTGCCCTTTTGGCGCATCACTTCTTGATGAAAGAAATTATCAATAGTACTATACTAATGTAAAGTTCAGGGAAGAAAGATTGAAACAATTTCTTTATATGGATAATGATCCTCATTGCACACAATGGAGCCCGACCAAATACTCTGATTGAAACACATCCTCGGTTGCCATCCACCGCACCCATCCAAAGACCAGCCATCATAGCTGCCCTTTGGCTTCATCACTCATCGCCTGGGCGGTGTAAAACATAGCGTGGCGAGGTCGGCGTTTTTCTGCCGTGGCCGGTGGACAAAGGCTGGGCGCGGGACACTGGGATCCCCTTCCAGCAGACCGTAGGTCAGTCGACAAAAACATCGCTGGGTAGATCGAGAGGGGAGACAGGAGAAGGCACTTGACAAAAGAGAACAGGAGACAAGACTGGCTGATTGGCGTGATCCCGATGGACTTCTGCCCTTCAGAAGTTTGGTAAAGCGCGCCCGTACCAACTCTGACACAGGACGATATGCTATCGCACCGCCGGCAAGCTCTGCGTCGAGCACAAACACCCTATCGGGCGCATTCCTCTCTGCACTTTTTGCTGCTGGCAGAGGTACCCACCAGTGACGTCACACCGGTCACACCAGTGACGTCATCAGCTGTAATAGTGGACTGCCGGCGGCTGGGCGGCCTTGATACCGGGGACGGGAGAGCACGCACTGGGCGGGGGGAGGGAGGGGGGGGGGGGGCGCCGACCACGCGGTCGGGTCGGCGCGGCGGGGAGGGAGAGGGACACGTGGGGAGCGAACAGCCGCACGGGGAGGGGGAGGGGAGGGGGCGGGAAAGGATGGTGCACGGGCGGCGCGTACCCGGCGACCCCCAGTGTCCAGCACACCACTGACAGCAAAACGACCCCAGCTCGCATTCCAGAGTGTGTGGCAATCTTTGCGCGGCGATTGGCTTTACGCAACTCTTGGAAGGCAGGGTCACTCAGGCACAGTACCTGGAAGGACGACAAGGCCACTGGAGGAGGATCAGGGTGACATTTATGGGATGCCGGTCAGCTCGCGCCTCTCGGATTCTCGGTAATATGACTATGGACATTGGACAATGGAACCGTTTGACAGTTCGGGCGAACGGGCACTGAAGATGGGGGGGGGGGGCATGGTCTTCCATCGCAATCTCCACTTGACCGAGCGTCATTGTTCAGTGGAATCTTTTAAGCTGTGAGGGAGAGGGATAGGGAATATACGCAGCAGTGTTAGTATAGAAAGGAATGGTTAAAGGTTAAAAATATAAAAAAGCGTTACCAGGGACTCGAAGATTTTCCCTTCGCAAATGCGCTGGAGGTGGCGACGTCTTCACATAACTGAATAGGAATATGGTGGCTACCGATGTCTGGTATCCACACTGGCGGATCCAGAAAAGTGGCATTGCATGCTACGGGGGCGGATGGGGTGCATATTCCCCAAATGTTTCCCATTTTCAACAACTCCTTGGAGTTCGCTTCCATGTGCCCCGCTCTGCAGCTTGAACTTTTTCAAATTAAATTGTCTAATTTTCTTTCTATGCATTAATAAATAGACCACGCAATTTTGCCAAGCTCGGACGCTGCAGGAGGGACAAGTGCCTCCCCCTGGATCCACCAGCACTGGTAGCTATCCATTTCTCTCTTTAAAAAAGCGAAAGCACGTCAAAGACTCACGATTAACATCTGGCGAAAGAAGGCCTTTTTCCTGAGCGAATGAGTTTTTCTGGTAAACCCGTTATTTAAGACAATTTCTTTTTTTAAAGAAATCTTCGTATGTGACCAGATGCGCATTGACCAGATCTGATAAAGTACTATAATAATATAATCATAATTCATAAGTTGTGTATCAGACACATTTTCTTGCTATCTCATCTCAACCGATGAGATAAGTGAAGGAGGGAAAACAAGAAGAAAATGATTATACCATCAAGCTTTCATATGAAAAGGTTTAAATTTAACCAACCAGTACCCCACACAGCGTCAAAATTGGACAATTTCTTATGTTCAGTTTTTATTAGATATGGTGTGCCCACGGCTTCCATTGTTTCCTTTCTAGATTCGCCGATATCTTTATCAATGTTTAAGTTTTCTTTCACATCCTGCTGACCTTGTTAGATACGACTGGTCATATCCAGTTTCCTTGCCATCCGGACCTCCCCCCCCCCCCACTCCCTTCCGATCTCGTCCCCCACCGAACGCTGCCATCCCCAGAGGTGTGTGATGACGCAGCTTTTCCGGGGTGTCGCAAACACGGTGACTCGGAGCTCAGTCAGCTCGCAAAAAGGCGGATGCCCTCTCGCTTCGGCCGGATGAATGCGCTGGCGCCGCGTGCTGTGGCAACACCCTCAGCTCGGCCGGCCTGCGCGAGATGACTGAGCGCGCGCGCGCGCCATTATGGCGCCAGGAACGCTGACGTTGGCCGTCTTACTCACAGAAAGGCATTTCCAATTCATAGTTCTCACGATTGAGGATTGGTGACACATGCTTGAATCAGGATACCGAATACCAGGTACTGTCAAACGTTCTCCACATGTGGTCAAACAGGTCGTTCACGGGACTTGGATTCGACGGTTTCACTATTGTTCGATAAGCACCGTACCGACTAAGAATGACGCTGCGTTACATATGAATGCAACGCTCCCAGCAGTTGTAAGACTTCCCAACGAACTCGACTCATGTTCCAAATAAAATGCAGTTTCCAATATTACCAAATCATCATTGAATTCAAACTCCATGGATGTTTGAATCAGAGTACTAGTGCGCAGAGCTAATAGAATCAATCGTCCAGTCTGAGCCCTGGCACATTTTTGCAGCATTCCCAGACCGTGTTGTCCCTCGGCCGTCCAGAGACCGACTGAGCACCCGCACGGGTCAGTCGCCCCGTCCTCCCTGCCGTCCGGCGGCGCTGTGGGCCTGCCGCCCGTCCACGAGCGGCTCCCATCGATCGATCGAGCGCGGCACACAGAGGGAGATCCGCGCGCGCGCGCGCACCGCCCGCCCTCCTCTCCGGGCCCGGCCCCGGCCCATCGGCCACGACGCCACTACGCACGCTATCGATCTGCCCGGCCCGGCGCCGGTACAGCTGGAGCCGCCGGGGACGACACCCGTTCCGGGGTCCAGCAGCCCTGTCCTGAGCTGGATGTATATCCGCTCCGGGGCCCACCAGGCGCAGCCCTCCCTCTCCAAGGGCCGCTCCACGCTGTCCACGCGCTCCCTGATCGGGGACGTCGAATCGAATCAAGTTCGCGGGCTGCTTCCAATCGGAGGCTGTCCAGCAATCTCATCTCGGAGCTGTTCCCTGTCAGTCCTGTTCGGGAGCTGCCTTTCGCTATTCACCGGGTCCCTACCGTAAGTGGGTCCCCTCTGTCCAGTGTCCCCGGTGTTCCGATGTTCCGGGGCTGCCCTGCCCCCTTTCTATTCACAGGGTTTTCTTTCTGGAATACAGCTCCACGCTGTGCACCCGGTGGGAAGCGAGAGCGCAGGTCGAGATCAGGATCGACCGTAATGAAGGGATGCTAGCAGGAAACAAAAATCCGATCAAACAGTAACGGAAAGAGTTTTCTCCTGGGTACCACCAGTTTACATTTATCGTGGAATTTATCCATCCGATGCCGTCACTGACTTCACAGGCTAGTTCACTCAGGAGATCATGAAGCGCATCACGGTGACGCCTCAGCAGCAGCGGCTGGTGCCCCTCCGGCAGGACCGGCACGGGTGAGGACACCCCGGCCGCGCGCCAACTCAGCGGAGCTCTGCAGCGACCGGCGCGCCGGCTGCCAGCTCGTTTCCCGGGATCGGTCGCCAGTCGCCACTGCGCCGGTCGGTTCAGTGTCCGCTGTCCGGCCTTGACCTCTGCCGAGCAGGTCCCTACCCTCGGCCCGCGGCAGGGCCCTGAACTGCCGGATCCCGCCGGAAACTAGCGCACACCGCCGAGAGGATAGCAGCTTTGTGATTGTGCGAGGGAGGAGATCTCACAGCCGCTTCCGTTCCAACCTCCTTATAAACTTCAGTGGTCACGTGAACATGCCTTTATCTGCAGTATCGAAACAAACCTCTTTCGACCAAAGTTTAAGGAAACAGCGCCGCTGATCAGAAGTTCGTGGTGTCCGGATCGGTTGCGCTGCTGCGTGGTCACGCCCTGCAGCCCCCGCGAGCCGCGCGTCACTCCCGCCCGCAGCGTCCATCCGTCAGTGCGCGCGCTCCAGCTGTCGGCTTCGCGCGCGGCGCCCGTCGGCGCGCCAAAACACGGCTCAGCGCGCCATCCGGCGACAGAACATGGCGGCATTCGGCAGCGCGCCAGCTGCGCCGCCGCCGGCCTTCGAGTGCGCGCGGCGCACAAAGCCGGCCTTCAGCTCAGGGGACAGGGGGCCGAGGGAGGGGGTAAACATCAGACCGATCCAAGACGCACTCAGCTTGCGCGTGGCGAGTCGTTGGCGCGTTTTTGCGCCGTCACGGCCTTGCAGTCGGATGTGCGCGCGCTGCGTGACGCACAGGCCGACCTCTGCGCGGAGAGGCTCCTCCTCCAGCGGCCACGTGGTCTCGCTGGCGGACCGCGCGGCGCCAAATGACCTCGCTCGGCCGATGCTCCTTTGGCGCCCAGTTTCGATTCGACTCTGACTGATTGGTGCTCCGTCCGCGTGACACATCGACGAGCCGAGGACAGCTGGACAGAAGAGAGCTCTTTTCCAGGGGACAGCCGCATAGGAACAGAGCTCCGGAGCACATTATGACAGAGGAGAGCTCATCCAGAGAACAGTCGCTGGAGTCCAGAGGGGCAGAGTTCTGGAGAACAGCCGAACGGAAACAGAACTTCGGAGGACAGCCTTACAAGAGGAGAGCTCCTCTAGAGGACAGTCGGAGGGGCAGAATTCTGGAGAACAACCGGACGGAAGCCTAGCTCAAGGGACGGCCGGACGGAAGCCGAGCTCCTGAGGACAGTACAGCCGGACAAGGACAGGAGCCGAGGACAGCCGGACACGGATAGAAGAACCAGCCAGTCGTACAGTAGTAGAGCTCAGAAGAGGATAGTTGCTCCAGAGTACAGCCGGACGGGAGACGAACTCAGGACATGTTCACTGCATTATTTGTTCAGGACATGGACAGGACAAGTTCGGACAGGACATGCAATATTTGTTCCGTGTTTTACGAACTCAGGACAGCCGGACGGGAGCCGGCTCCTGCGTGTAGCAGCGCGCCGTCCAGCTCACACCCAGTGCAGGAGCCTGGGGTCCGGCGCGGCTCACGCCGCCTGTGCGTGGATCTGCGCGGCGCGTCGTCGCTCGATCAATACGGGACCGGCCACCCCCGCACGCACACCAGCTGATACCGGGGGGGGGGGGTAGCGGCTGACGGGGGAGGACCAGCCATGCGCACCCGTACAACGACCGCCCCGCGTTCGTGTGTATGTACGAGGGGGTGGGACAGCCTATAGCTGGTACCGGTAGAGGTAGTCGGGTACTCGTGCCCAGTTGGACATGCTGTCATGTCAACGATCTTAGCAGAGGTGAACAAACATTTTTAGCTTCCTTCCGTTGATCTATTGATGTTGACAGGGAACGCACTGTTGCAGTGCTACCACTATGACTGGTAAAAATGAATGTTTAGAAAATCGTTTTAAATTATTTTATTCGTAAGATGCACCACCGTACAATATGCGCAGATCACGAGGAATATCTCGATTTGTTTGAGATAGTATTTACCAAAAGCAGAAGTCTGAACTTCTCTGCAGCCAAGTTCGATTAGTCAGACTTAATTTAAACATTTTTAGATGACGAATGTTTCAACTTTATTTCGAGTCAGTTTTACTCATCTGTAAGTGGACCATTGGTCATTTCCGAATTGGTAATTGACCAATATTTAAAAAGTGGCACGACATGTAGTTTGAGGCTTAAATGCAGACTCTCCTCACAAAATGTGTGCATTGTTCGGCAACTGCAAGAGGAAATTTGATTAACAGACTGTTTTGATCCACGGGGTTCGGCCTATCTATTTTTAGCATGACGGTAACCTTACTCAGGCGAGACCAAGCCAGTCTGATGTCGAGAGAGGGTGCGTTGTTATTTGCTTGACCTACGCACTGAGCCCTACTTCGCATACATCCGGGCCCTTACCATCCATTAGTCGACTATTCAGACTCAATGTCCTATTAAGAAAACTATCTAGGCTTGTGCATTTTCAGGCCGCTCATAAGAACTAGACTGAGGGATTGAGCTAAATAACGAGATAGTGCCCATCGGATCGGCTACACATTATCCAAGCTGTGTCAATCACACATTCAAACACGAAACAAACTCATAAATGAACAATTCATGCTGCGGTGGGCGCCTCTCGTCTTTTCTAAACTTATCATTTGCACCCATTTTAAGAACAAAATACACGAGTTTTACTTTCATCTGCCTGCACACAGCACTAAAACGATGCAATTATCTTCTCATAAGAATGTGTATAAACTGCGGATGAAGTTTTAAGACAAAAGTGCCCGCTTGGTTGAATCAGTTCTTACTTCTTTATCTATCACCTTTCGTGTTCATACGTTCATTTTAGGTAAATTCCGAAGTTGTACACTCGCATTTTTTTCGTCCCGGAAGTCCCGAGCGAATGAAGAACATACCTTGAAGTTTGAATCTCATCACGGTCGAACATCAATGCGAAGTGGAAGCGAGAGCAGAGCACACCTGCAAAAGAGAAAGAATTGTCACGACCCGTGACCACACATTGCAGAGAGCCCATTCTAAAGCCTTAATTGGGCATTTGGTCGGCACCACCTTTGGCAGTATTGACGTTAAAACTGCAGCAATAGAGCCATGCATTTTATGGTCAAAAAGGATACAGCAGGGACAGCAAGAACAAGGTAATAATAAAACAACTGAATCCTCCCCCTAACAAATCTCTACTGACAAATGTTTCCTGCTGATTCTCAGCAAAGGCACAGCATTGACGATCAGATATAACGGCCATAAACTGGAATTCTAAGAATAGCATACACGCTAAAAGGGACAGTAACACCAACCCTCTATTTAAACTTCTTGTACCAAAAAAGAGCGAATATTCCGTGCAGAAAGGCTACCGAAGACTGCAACGATTCCTAATATTCAAACGGAACGAGTGGGCCCTGGCGTTCACGGCCCTGGCAAGGCGGCCACGCGGCTGGCCGCCGTCGCGCGCCCTTCAAATTCAAACACGGGTGTCGAGTACCACCGGCGGGCCCCACCGCCGGCAATGCGCCATCGGCCGGCAGCGCCGCCGACGCCACCGCGGCGGCTCCCGCTCTCGGCTCTCGTTCCATCACATGATGGACACTGAGGGATGAGGGTGCAGAGGGTAGCACGTTTCACCCATAGAGTTCCTACCATTTCCCCCTATCGCCGTTTGTCCAGGGGCCGGTCATGCCCGGGCGGACGCCCACCCGGCCGGCAGTCCCCCTCCCTCCATCCCTCGCCCCGCTCCCATTCCCCGATGCCTTACTACGCTGCGGCCGGCTGGCGGCAGCCGCACGGTGCTGCCGCCTGGCGTCCGATCACAAAACCTCAAGCATGCGCCGGCGCCCGTGGCGAGCGGCGCCCGCCGCCGCCGCCGCCGCTGCCGCCTGGCCGGTCGGCCGACGGCGGGGCACGGCACGGCGGGCTGGGGTCGTCCGTCGGTCCAGGCCGCCCCTCCGACGGCGGATCGGACTGGAGAGCCCCGCCGCTGACCGGGGCGAGGCTGGTTGCCGGCCGAGACGGCCGCTGACGCTGTGACGCGCCGGCCGCCGCTGCGTCACATGACCCGGCGCGGCATGACGTCACCGGGGGTGGGGGGGGGGGGCGAGGGGGTCTGTGGGCCAGTCGTGCTCAGCCGCCGGTCGCTGTTGTGGCTGCCGCCGCAGCGTAATACCCTGCCGGCGCCGCCCCAGTTACCATGCGAGTGGCACCCACCGCATGGCGGGCAGATCATATTCACAGGCATCACGCGGTCACCCCATGGTGGCCAGTGATCCCGGGGTTCGGCTGCCACCACAGAATACCAGACGGACACCTAAAATTCACTAATATCTTTGAAACATTTTCCCGCGGTATACCTACGCCATACCTATTTTTGACGACTTCACAGCGCACGGCTATTCAAAAGTCATTCGCAATGTAGGCCAGGTCGGTTATCGTTGCTCTGCCCCCTCCCCCGGGGCGCACGAGTCTCTCCGCACGCTGTACCACTTCAAAATGGCGGCCCAGCAGAGGCGTTCGTCCGGCCCAGGGGCGCCAGCGTGCAGGGGCGCACTCAGGCACTTGAAGGGGATCAGCTCCGGCCCTTGGGGAGTACTTAATAGTAACAAAACGAGAACATTGGAGAGGCACGTAGATTGCTAGACATGCGCACGGATCCAGGAAAATTATCTAGGATTTGATCCCACGTATCTGGATTTTTGATCCAATGGGGTCATATATCCGGCTCTCTTGTCGATAGATTCACTGGGATCACGAACATATTTATTGCCTGGAGATTCGGTGAGATCATTAATCCTTACTTTTTGTCGACAAAGGAGCACTGGTTGCAATGCGCTATTATTCTATTTCAGGGATATTATGTGATTACACATCATAAACCAGTTTTGTGGCACTTATCGACATGAACTCGCAAGGAAACGTTCTATCTCACAGGTTGCATATGAGGGGATTCACTGGGATCATGGATCCCTGTTCTTTCTTGGTTTGTCCTAACTCAGATCCTTTGAAGTCATATATTTTTAATGGGATCCAGTGGGATCATAGATCCTAGCTTATCGTTTGCTTTGAGATCCACAGAGGCCATCGATCTATCACTCGGATCAGAAATGTGTACACAAAGGTATCGTAAACAAATAACCTGAAAACGTTAGATCCCTTGAAGTTATTTCTTAAAGAGTTCAGTTTTTACCGCGGTGGATTTGTTCAGTGATTAAATGTCAAATAACGTCCCTTGTCTCACATAAGTTCTCAAACGTTCCATGTGAAATTGAGAATGAAAATAAAGTCTAGGTTAGCAATTAATTACACATTGCAAAAATGTATTATGCATGCTGCTTGGTCATGGCATAAGAAATTTAGGACGCGACGACTGCTGAGTGCTGGCTGCTGATACCACCTTGCTCCGTTACTGTACTGCGAAAGATTTTGGAGGAATAAGAAATAAATATTTTCATGTTCTGCAGAAAGTCCGAATTGGAGTTTGCTGAAGTTTTTGCTGTCCTTTTATGAAGGTTGAAGGACTATCTTATTTAATTTCTTAGTTGAACAGATCGAGAGAGAAATTGTATGCTTTCGGGACTTTTCTATTGTTTCAGTTCGTATTTGATTTGGTATCGGTTTCAAAACATTCAAAAGAAATTGTATCTTTCGGGAGTCGGGACTTTGCTATCGTTTCAGTTGATATTTGATTTGGTATCGGTTTCAAATATTTAACATCACTAGCCTACATGTAGTAGATAATGAAACAGTGGATCATTTGGATATATGAATGATTACTATGTAGTGGGCGGAGCAAAGAAAATCGGCAGTTTTTACCTAAGCACGAAATTCGAAAGAAACGTTTTCATACTGTCTACATAATGACGAACCAACATGCCGGACACTCTTCGAGGTGGTCAATGGTCATCTTACACCATATGACTAAGAAGGATCATATCAAAATAGTCTACGAAACAGAAAATACTTGTCGGCTCGACGGCCAATCAAGCAATCATTCCAATGATCGGAAAGAACGACTTAATAAAGGCAAAATTAAAGACGGACACCAATTAATCGCAAACTATCGTCCACATTCGTCCCTCGACACAGCGACTGAAGGTCCGAGGCCCTCCCTCCCTCCCCCCCCCCCCCTCCTTCCCGTGTACGCACCGCATCTGCGCCGGAAACGGCGCGGTTCCGGCGGCGGGGGAGACGCGCGGGCGACAAAAACGGCGCACAGGATGGAAATAGTCCCGAGGGAGGCGAACGACCGCGCCGCGTTGGCAAAACGCGCCGCGCGGGGGACGAGCGCGGCGCGGTAGCGGGCGGGGGACCGTTCTTTGACGTAGCAGAGAAGAGTTGTGTGGGTTTATTTGCTGTCGGTCTGATCAATCGTTCAATAAAAAATAATAACAAAATGAAGATTTCATCATGGGATATTACTTCGCAACTTTGTAAGAACGCTAGCTGTTATAAAATGTGGCAAAAAAGTTAATATTTTGGTCAGTTTTACAGACTGGTTTGATTTTCGGTATGTTCCCATTGTTTTGGGTGGTATTTGGTTTGGTATCGGTTTCCATTTTTTCTTCAATTGACAACACAATAGCCATTGGGACCAATTTCTCATTCTATGTATCGGTTGCCGGTGTATGAATAGGACCACATCATGGACTAAACCTTGAAGGGCCGGGTCACCAAACTGGACCTTAGAGAACCTAGGTCACCGATTTCCTGTTTCCTATAGTCCCTAAGCGGCCCAGGCCTAACGAGACTGACCCGACCCATCGAGGGTCAGTCTGGTGACCTAGCCCCGCTCCCTTGAGGCTGGACGACTGCACGGTGATGGACCACACTGCCGAGGTCTCCAAACCCGGCACCACCGGAAGCTGACCGCCGCCGCGGCGAGCCGAACGTTGGAGGGTCTCACGGATCTCCATCGGTTCCCAGGCGACCCACCGCCGATTTCCGGCGTCCGCTGCCAATGGCGGCCGCCGCCGGAAGCAGCACGCGCGGCCCGTACCGCCGCCACCGGAGCGGTCCCAGAAACCGTGAGAAAGACCAGCGCAGTCGGCCGGGGAATCGCCAATCAATGGATTCGAACTGAAGACAATGGAGGAACTTGCCGGGGTCAAAGGCATACGTTTACTTACAAATTTGAATAATGAACAGAAGTCGTATTTTCGCACAATATCAGCCTAGTAAAAGAGTATTTATTGAAACTTTGGCGGCGGCTTCAACAGACGTCGAAGTCGATTGAAGCCAACATCCGGATGATTTCAAAGTAGGTTGTTCATAACTCGGAAAGGAAAACAGGCCGGGCGTTCGAGATTCCGAAGAGCCACGTGACGGTGAGTACCCGATAAGAGGTGCTGTTTGCTTTTCTCACGTGGCCGGCGCGCCGCCATTCGTTCACAGTGGCCGCTCGAGGCCTCGCTCCGACCGCCAGCGCCACTATCTGCCGGCCCGGCGAGAGCGGCCCTATCGCCTCTACCGTCCCACTCAGCCGCGGGACGCCCGAGCACGCAGCACGCACCGGGCACGCATGTAAACAGCGCGCGGGGCGGGCCGCCGGGGCCGACGCCCTGGCGCCGGTCAGCCGCCCCCGCCGCCGTGGTCTCCGTCCGCCCCATCCAGCGGGCGGCCTCTCCTGTAAACAGAGGCCGCTAGAGCTGCCGGTCGCTGCCGCCGTGTCCGGCCCGCCGCCGCTAGAGCTGCCGGTTTGCGGCGCGCACGGGCCCGGCGGTGCAGAGCCGCGGTGGCCGCCGGCGGCGGCGCCTTCTCAGAAGCGCGGCCCTGCAGCATATTTACGTCTGGACAACGAGTTGCGGGGAAAAGTGCTGATTTTGTTGCATTTTAGGAGCCGGTGATTAGGCTAGATTTTTGGGTTACTTTTTCGTTCCGATTCATGTATTTCATAGTGTTTGGCTTTTGAATATTTTAGTTCTTTCAGATAAATATTACTTGCCTTACAACTTTTGTAAAAACGTTTCATTTTT